AAAGTACTCTAAACTGTATAAATAATGTAAAATTAAATTGAATTTATTAGCCAATCAGACAAACTTCTGCCTATGACCAAGAGAGAGCAAAGATTCCGAAAAGGTCCAAGAAACGAGCAAGGGTGAATCAAAAATTCGAGTGAAGCTCCGAAAATTTCTGAGGTAAGAGTAGTGTTGTGACTCAAACTAAACCATGTGTCAATTAGTATCATATGGTTTCGGCAATAAGAAAAAAGCAGCCGAAACATGGTTGGAACATCCTTGGATTATATCTATAGATAAGAGCGAGAAGTAGAGATTATTAATCTCAACCGGTTGTAATCGGTTGACATAAAATAATTCGGTTCGGTTAACCGATTAAGGATATTTTTTTCGGTTCAAATCACTAGTTACAGTATATGAATAAGTTGTGGCATGCAGTAACTATATTAGTGAATTTGCTTTCAACATAAGAAAATTACAACTATCTAACGACACCCCGAATTTTTTTGCAATCACGTAGAAATCTATTATATAATTTAATTATGGATGTATTACTGATTATAAATAATTTTAGTTGTCAACATTGATACATATTTTTTCTAAAAAATTAAAAATGGATTGGATTTTTAAAAATGTACAGTCGGCTCCAAAAGTTTATCACGGTTACACAAAAATAATATGCAAAATATTAATAAATACAACTGACTCTTGATATGAAAAAGTCACCGAGTCCAGCTAAAATCCTACTTATATCAAACATTCTTATATTAAAACATAAATTTTTGACTGAAATTGGTAAAAACTTTCTTATGCCAAGAGCTTTTTATATCGAAGGTTTCCTATATCGAGAGTTACATTTATAGTTGTTTCTGTGTAACCGTGATAAACTTTTGGAGCCGACTGTACAGTACAATATTCAAAAAACCCGTTAATATAAGCCAGTTTCTTAACATTAATTCAAACAATATCAGTTAATGAATTTTATTATACATACGTATAACCGTATATAGTTTTTTTTACATAGTATATCGTACACCTCAATACCATATATAAATTCTTTGACATCATATCGATATATAGAAAAAACATTGGGCCAATGTTTAGCAAAAAATATATTGATCTAAGCCGATGATCGACTAAATCTCTGGCTTAGTCGATTAGGGCTTAGTACTATATCTGTTTAGATATTTAACATCAAAGAAATAACTTTTACTGATAATACCCACATATATGTATAAATATCTTTGTAATTAGGTCTACTGTAATAAGTAAAGACCTCATGCCTAATTACCAAGATCTATTGCATGTCAAATTTCATGCTATGCCGTGTACGTATGTATGTACTTTATATATCAATATCAGATATTATCAGATATACCAAACAAATTACGTAAATCTGATTTCACATGCACCTTGCATTCATATTCGTAAAATTTTGTAAATTCTTCAATGACTAAGCATGGCTGAAATACTGAATTGGATATTTATCCTGAAGAAGTTTCTAAAATTGGCAAAGTTAAAGATGTCAAATATTATCGTTATATATAATTTAAATCAAAAAAATCAAAAAAAAACCAGTACATTTAAATGAGGCTTTGATGGTTAAAGGCACAATGTTGACAGTAGAAAAAAAAGGCGAATGACTTTATCCTTTAAATCAAAAGTAAAGGTAGATAATTATTTTTTAAATCGATCAAACATAATCGATAGACTTATTGTGTACCCTACATATTAGGTGTCATGTCATCACCTAACATGTCTGTATACACATCTTTGATCTTTAACAATATTCCTTTCATAACACCGTGTCTCGAATCTCAATACCTTTCCGAAAAAGTAACATCAGCTGCTGTGGCAATTCATGATCCACATTATAAATCCTGCATGGTTCTCGAGCACGTCGGTCTTCTCGTAATAACCTCTTCAAACCATACATTCTTGATTCATTCATGTCCTACACCACCAACTTATGGTACAATAATCGATCTGTTTACTCCAACTCTTTGTAAAAAATATCGAATCACAAATTTTTACCTACCAAAGGATGACTTAAGAGTACGTGATTTTTATATAGCATGTGGAGGAAATAGACAATGGGGTTGGGGAATTGATAAAAGTGGAACTTGCACCGATAGTGTTTGGAGAATGTTAGATGCTTTATTTTGTACTAAAGAAAAGGATATTTTAAGATTAGAGTGGGCCAGATTACAAGATGGAAATTGGTTAACTAAGTTTCTTACTAGCATTTTTGTAGATGTTTCCTACTTTTGGATCATGAAATTATATTATGGAAATAAGCAAATTCAATGATTCTATCATGAAATTTATGAAAGTTTAAGAGTTAAATAAACTTTAGAATTCATAATCACTCGATCAAAACCAATCGTTGTATATTTTATAAAACATATTTCTTTGCGTTTTGTTTGTAGACAAGTTATTCACCTAAACAAAATTTATTCTTAAATACTATATAAAGATCCTATTGGTTTATTCACCATTTCTCCAAAAGGATCCTCTTTTCAACTAAGCCAGCGCTTTTTAACCAACAAATTAAATCATCACGCATAATTGGTGGGCCACAAATAAAACACTTCAATTTTTCCAAATTATCATGTTCTTTCATGATTATATCACCGAGGATTTTTTGGCTAATTCTTTGTCCATAACAAAACTCACTTTCATCATTTGCGAAAGGTGATTGAGATTGTGATACATTTTCACCTGTTAAAAAATATTTACATTCCAAAACTTGCGGCCATTCTTTACGTAATTTTTCAATTCGATTATAAAATAATAATTCGCTAAAGGATTTAGCACTATACAATAATCGAATTTTCTTTACACCCACTTTCTTCGTATTATTCACATTGGAATTATTTTCCACTTCTAAAATTGAAGTAAACATACTTATTAAAGGATTAATTCCTACACCTCCAGCAATAAACATAGCATATTCAGTCCCATCTTCTTGCTCCTTCTTTTCATCCCAAACGAATTCTCCTCCAACTCTAACTTCAACACTGTCCCCAATTTTAGCATTTTCATGAAACCATTTTGCAGGCGGATTTGTTGAGTATTTAATTGATAATTCAAACGTATTTGTAAGATTGTATTGGTATGGTGTAGAAGTTAATGAAAAACCACCAACTATTGAAACATTAGGAATGAATACGTCCAACCATTGACCTGGAAGAAATGAGAATTCAGAAATAGATGAAGGTGAAGGACGAAGAAGAAATGATTTTATTGTAGGAGTTTGAGAGACGATTGAAATTATTTCAGCTGGAATTTTTGACTAATTTTTGATAGTAAATTTTTTACAATATGAGAAGAGAAAAAGTCAGATAGAATAGTAAATATATTAATTATTATCATTATTATTATGGCTGTTAAATAGTAAAGTTCGATGTATGACCTTTTGTCTTTCGATATGACTGGTTCTTTCTATATGACTGGGTTTCTCGATTAATTTACTAGCTTCAAAGTTTTGTTGTTCTGACATGTTATAATCTCCGGTTTTTGAAGAAAATGGGCTTAAAAATCGTTGAATTCTCCAATTTGGTACTGAAGAAATAAGTTTTGAAAAGCTTAAATACATACGTGCATTTAAATTAGTATGTATTTTAATGAGTGTTCCGATTAACGTTAACGTTAAAATTTCATGTCATTCTTTATTTTTTTCCGCTCGTGATATCCACGTGATTGATTAATGATTTGTCAATTATTGCCACGCATAGACAAAGACCTTTTAATCAATCGAGTTTTTTTAAATAAAAAAAAATTATAATTTCCTTCGTTTAACATTTAAATAGTATAACTGATAACCGTTATACATACGTACGTATTAAATATCTAATTTGTATCTACTAATTATTATGTATACTGTATTTACAGTATATATATGTAAAAATTTAAAATAAACCAAAATAGTTCCTAAAAGTCTTCATTTATTTGGTTTTAAACATTTACTAGAAAGTTCTAAATGTTCTTTAATTACATTAACAAAAAAACATTATATATATAATTATTCTTTTATTTTTAAAACTTAATATAAAATAGTTATTGTTTATATACATAGTATTAACTTGTTAAAATTGCTTATATACTATTGCTTGTATTATATTAAATTTTGAAAAAATAAGTCACTCTAGTTATAGTAAATTCTCAATATATGTGGGGTTGTCAGTAGGAACCAAGCAAATTGTTTTATTAAAATTTTTTAAATTTTAAACAAAAATAGCTTGATAACTATCTGATCAAATTTGATAAATTTTTTTTTATTTGATTCTATAGACTCATAGCTTTCAAATAAAAAAATTTATTAAATTTGGTCAGGTAGTTGTCAAGATATTCTTGCTTAAAGGTTGAAAAAAATTAATATAAACAATTTGCTTGGTTTCTACTAACCATTCCCATATATACTGTAAGTATAAAAAATAATTGTTTATATAAAAACTCTCGATATAGTGAGTTTACTAGTAAACTACGTATAAGAAAATTTTACAACCTATGGCTTTACTATAATGAGTAATTTGCAGTGGAAGATTAATTATTGTTAACAAACAATATTTAAGTTTTAAATTATTAATTAAAATATAAAAAATCTCTTAACCTATTTATTTTTAAATATATAAACAAACATTTATTTTTTTGTGAATTAACCAAATTCCCACAGAACAAAAAATAGTCCTAAAATCATAATTATATTATTCCAAAATGTAAGACTATATTCCACAAATTTATTAGAGCAAGATTTTTTATTTAGGAGCTTTGATGAATTAATTGGTGGTAATGGGCCTTGAAATGTGATATTTTCATTAGGATTTGGTAATATAGTCACATTGTCTGATGATGGCACAGTTGGTATTATTGGGTTCAAATTTGATTGGGTTTTGTATCTAAAGTATTTATATAAAAATTTCAAGTAAACATAGATTATTATAAACAAGATATATTCAATATTAAATATTAAATGCCAAATATATATAAAATAAAGCATACCCCATTGATTCCATGATAGATCTTAATCTAGGACCAATAACACCGAATTTGTCACCATTTTGATAATTTCCACCTTTAGAAATTAAACTCCCAATGGTAAATCCTGGTTCCAGCTTATATCTCATTAAGAAATCTTCGCTGTTAGTATAACTATCAAAGCTAACATGCGAAATGCTAGATCCTGAAAGATAAGGATCAATATTAGTTTCTACATAAATTCCGTTAACTAATTTATATCCTCTTGGTAGAAATACTAAAGTATTTGCAGTGATGGCTTTATTAAATATGAAAGGAGCGACACTCAGCCATTGTGGAGAATTTATTAAAGATTCAGCAAATTCACTAGTTGTAGAGAATTCAGTTGGAGGAGGGCCAAACTCGTTTAATTTTGAGGTGTATGCAGACAATGAAGTAGAAATTAATGGTGAAGTATTAGGGTCAGAAAGAACTACAAGAAACTTATCGAATATTGTCTCTATGAATCCCTGAAAAATAATTGGACTGCCAGATGAAACATTTGTTGTTGCTTCATATGCTAAATATGGAACAGGTGATAATGCACTTGCTGGATATTGTAATGTAGAATCAATGTGATCTCTCCATGCAGATGTGAATCCAAGGCCGTGAAACAATTCATGCAATATTACTGTATGAATATTTTGTTGGGTAGGATTTATTGGTCCATCGCCGTCAAACCAAAAATTTACAGCTACACATAAAAATAAAAAGGATAATGGAATAACGAATAAATAAGGGGTATACGTAGAGACGTTAATGGTGGCATTCACAATTTACGTTAAACCAGTATTGTCATAGGGTCTTAAAGATAATACAAACATAATACTATATGGCTTTCCCTATTTTTATACAATGCAATATACAATACAATAATAGCTTAACGTAAGTTGTGGATGCCGCCTACTTGACTCAACCTACATATATATATTTATTATAATCATAACTGATTAATGTTAACTTACCTGAATTGAATTGTGCAGAGATGTCATAACTATTAAATTCTGGTTATTATTAAATTTTATGTTAATTATAACAATGTATATATTGGTTAAAAATAATATTAATGTAATAAATATTTACCTGGATGAACATCAAATTTAAATTGTTTTACGAGTGATTGAGGATACAATCGTGGAACGCCATCTTCAGATATTAAAGGTATAAATCTCGACGGAGTAGCTACTCCTTTGAATAAGTAAGATATAACTCGGTTTAATAATATCTTTTATATATTTTAATTTATGCAAGTGGGGTTTTCTTTTTTTTTTTGCACTCAGTGGGTTAATCAGAAAATGCACTCAATTTTGGTAATAAATGATATTTTAAAAAAAGAAATAGACCTACCCAAAAGATTAGGATCACCAATTTTCGAGAATGTTGCATTAATTATAATCGGGACTTCAAATATAAATACCGAACTTATGATTTGTCCGGCTGTTTCAAAGGCTGACTGAACTTTTCCACAAAGAACCACATCCGCACTGTTACATTGCAAATTCACAGTGAATAAACTCTCGTTGACTAAATTTTTCGTTCCGAAAGTAGGCACTGTGGATTTTACAAATGGACATGACATAATTACATGTTTTTCAGGCTCGGATGGATTTGGAATGTCAAAGCAGTCGTATGATCTAGCAAATAATTTTGAAAAGGAGACAAATAGTGATATACAGAGAAGAATAGACAACTTCATCAGACATTTATTTCGTTTTAATAGTATGGATAAATTATATAAATAAAATTTTCGGAGAAAAAATTCCTAATTTAGAGTGTGCTTAATATCCAAGAATTATGTTTCGTGCGTATATATGTCGCTATATATGTCGTATATACATTATGTACGTACGTGCATGTATACACAGTCGTTGTCTTTCCTTTTGTTTTTAGTAACACCGATGCAGTATATATAAAGGACGAATACAGATGAGCGAATGTTATTCGAAACGTGATTGCCTTTGATGAGACTCTAAATCTTGCATCTTATAAAAATATAAATATGTAGGCATATATCTAGTGTTGTACATGAAATAGTTGGAATAAATTTGGGACAATATTGAGGCATAAAAAAAATGTTAATGGCACAAACTTTTATTAAGATAACCTTTCAACTCATAAATAAAAATGAAAATTTTGATGGGACGAGACAAGTTCAACTGCATACATTCATTGCAGAACATTAATACGTACGTATAATTCTAGGATGGTGTTAATCATGTGTTATAACCAGTGTTGTCAATTTTTTGTTCCATTGATAAAAATTATATTCTATTCTAATTTCTATTGCTCTATTCTATTGTTCTATTGTTCTATTTATTTATTGCTATATTAATATCTAATTATAATCTTGGACAATTTTTTGTTCTATTGACAAACCTTTTATTTTCTTCTAAATTCTATTACCCTATTCTATTGTTCTATTCATCTATTGCTGCCAACACTGGTTATAACATATCTATTATATATCGATACATCATTGTCACATTTAGTATTGACAACCGACACAATACATGTTTTTTAGATGTGGTTCCTATTTCAATTTTATAATTAAACTTAAATCGATTTTTTAAACTTTTTTATTGATCTATCCAAGTGCATACATTGGGGGCAAGGTTGGCAATGAACTCAATGGAGCTTAATGGTTACGTGAGCGGTACACAAAAAATGAGCATCCATTGGCTCCAGTCAGAGCTTCATTGAGCTTCATTGCCAACCTTGATTGGAGGTTCCAGAATTAACGTTAATGACTCAGCATCTTTTAAAAATAAGATAATTTTGATTCAGAGTTCTAAAACAGGAAATATGATTATTTAAACTTTAAATATTTTCACCCATATATGTTGTACGTCGGAATGAATTATTGTAGGTTTAGAACCCACTTAGGTTAATTCAAAATAACCATAGAAAACATAAGTTGTAATAGAATTCTAGAATACGCCCGAGTCGTTAAAAGCTTCCAATCCAACTTACAATAAAATTTCATTGAGTACGTTGTTTTGGAATTTAAGTCGTTTTAAGCTAGGGTTAATTCATAACGCAACGCAAATGCATCGTAAATTTAAAAATATCACATGAAGCTTTCTACATCTATAATTAGTGGGATCCCACAGGGTACATTCATTTACAATGATTTTTGTCACTCGCCGTTTGTAATTGCATTTAATATTACCTACTTGTGAGCGATACCGTTCATTTCACCGACAGTAGGGATGGGCAAGTCCGTCCAGTCCTAAAAAGACCGGTCTTTTCAGTCCAGTCTCGGTCCCAATAACAGTCCTTAATTATTTAAATCTCTAAACATCTTATTGGCTTGCGGGGAAATCAAATCATATGACGTCGGTAAAAGACTATGTAACATGTTTTTTAATTGGCTATTTTAATTATTAATGAGAACCAGTCCAGACTTCAAGACCGAGGACCAGTTAACCATAAGGCTGGTTAAAAATACCGGTCCTTATTCGGTCTTTTTAGGACTAATCCATCCCTAACCGAAAGTCATTTCACCGACAAAGTAATACATTGTCGGTAGGATCAGGTTTAGAATTAGAGTTAAGGTTAGTGTGATTTGTAAAAACTTGTCGGTGAAATGAACCGGATCCCTTATGAAGAGGATTGCATAATAAACACTGCTCAAGCGTCTATGAGCGTTGAAGAAATACTATCTTCTGGAAACTACCAGACCCAATGGATGCAATTTTATTAGCATTTATACGTAATTCAAATAATGCCGGATAAGCATCCAAGTCTATATGTGTCATTCTTCGAAAACTTCGAAGATCTTGCAGGGGAGTGTCTTTCGATCATAGTGTTTGTATTTGCTGGATCCGGTAAATCCTTAATACAAAGTCTCGTGTTATAAAGTTTTACGAAGACTATTAGCCAATTTGTTGTTAAAAACTTTGGAAATATTAGTAATAATAATCCTCCCGTGATATTTATATAGTGATCAGGGATTATGAGATAAAAATGGATAATCCAAGATACGGTTATCAGGTAGAGAAAGTTGCACAGAACGAAAAAGCGAAATAAGAACAAGAAAGCAATAAAATTTTGATTACTTGAAATTTTATCATAAACATATTGATATGAATTTAGTTATCGTTGCCATTAAGTTAATCGTTTATAAATTTAGAATCAATGAATTGCTTTTGATTTTCATAACAATAGATTATATTTGAGTTCCGTTTTAACCTAAATTGATTCTAAATTCTGTTCTGACATATGACATATTCACAGTAATATCTCTCTAAGTGCACCCTCCCTAAGTGCACACCTTCTTTAAGTGCACACTATAGCCTAGTCCCGAGCTTGGAACTTAGTGCTCTATGTTCTGCACGTGCATAAGTTTTTATGACCTGGGCTGATACTTGCACCTCCATAAATGCACACATGTGATTTTTAGCCAATAAAATACAAGATTGCATTTACTAGTCAAACCACAAGTACAGTAAAACCTTAAGTGCACTTTCCTTAAGTGCATATCCCCTTTAAGTGCATACTAAAGCCTAGTTTCAAGCTTGAAACTTAATGCTAAGTATACCCTCCAACCTCTGCACATCATAGGATTGTACAGCTTGAACCTATATATGAACCCTCTATAAATGCATGCATATGATTAAAATAAACATTTTATCAATTAAAATAATAGATTTGTCAGATATTCTTAAAAGATAGATAATAAATTAATACAAAATATTATTGAAAGGACATGAGATTTTATTAATTGTAATAATAAAGTAGAAAGAAATACTAATTCTATAAATGCATACTCTTCCTAAGTGTATACTATAGCCTGGTCCTAAGGGTGTACATTTAGAAATGTTTTACTGTATATTATTAGATCCAATAACATGATGTGAATAAATTGCAACTCTGTAGCTCACTTATAAGATTTTTTCTAGCATATGATTATGGCTAATTAGATTGAAAGATTAGGTGAATGTAAAAATCATGTTTTTTTAAAAAATCACAAAATTTTATCTATGAAACTGCTTTCTGCATTCTAATTAAAAAAATTCTTACGAAATTTTAGTATAAACTATGATCTTCTTTATCCTTAATTCTAACTTTAAATATAATACTTATTATTTTAAAATCTTTTACTGTAAGGATGTGGTGACTTAGTGAAGTAGATAAGTTGTCATACCTCCAAGTAGTAGATTGTGAGTTCAAAACCCATTGATGGCAAAATTTGAATAATCACCTATGTAATATATAGACAGTATTACGGTGATGGCATTCTGTCGATCAGTTGGGATAGGATATCTGTAATTATAGTTGCACCAGCATGACTGGCAGGTCTGGGGTATCTGTATAACCTGCTATACAGAGGAATGCAAACTGGTACTGAGCAGTGCAAACCTAAAATAAGTCCTTGAGTCATGTAAATTTATAGAACTGAGAAGCCGAAGCCCACTTGGAAATTCCAAGTAAAGAGGTAATATGGATCTTCGATGGCATTACTGTAAAGACTAGACCTAGGAAATAGATACCAATGTGAAGGATTTGGGCAGATAAGAACCTTGGGTAAGAGGTACCACCAACCAGGCCGTCAGATTTAGGATCAGAGGAAAAGAATATTGGCCCAGCCTCAATATACCAAGAACAGATCACAATCCTTCCAGGCTATCTGGATTGGGAGTCTTGGTTCAAAGTAGGGATATACTAAAAATACTAGGGATATGCTGTGAAGTTAGTACTAAGGTCTGGGTAAACTCTGTAAGGATAGCCTGTATTAGTGTTCTAAAAGTGAGTAGATAGTTAACAACAGGAGGCTCCCTGCACCTTACTAGCAGGTGACATACTCTGAAATATGTAACAGCCTAAGAACTAGTACAAAAAAGGTAGGTACTATACTGCTCAGATGGTATACCAGTTAGGTATATATGGAGGGTTAGTTGGGGATTCCAATATGAGAGGGTGGATAATCAGAGGGTTTAAATGAATAATCTCCTAGTAGGTTATAGGTATGGCATCTAGTATAAAACCTTAGGGCGGACTACTTAAATAGGCAACCAAAAGTTGCATGTGTAATTAGCTGTACTTTCATCTCTGTAAAAATAGTTATAATAGCTAACCTGATATAAAGTCAATAAAGTATTACCACAAGTATGACCTTTAACAAAAAAAAAAAAAAACTTTTATTATTTTGATTTTATGTTACACTTGTTCTTTTGATATAATTGGCCAAAAATCATATGTCAAAAAAATCTTGTATATAAGCTACTAATGTCATAAATTGTTAAGATATTATATATAAATAAGTAGGGAGATTAATTTCTTAATATGAATATTCTGACAATTAATTGATTTATTAAGGATAGAATACAATATAGATCATTTCTATATATAATTAGTTACAAAAAAAATTTTATATAATAACTACAAAATATATTACTAATCTTTTTTTTTTTTTAATTAATTAATAAAAAAATTTTATAATATAAATAAAATTATTTATCTATTCAACTCTTTTTGATGATTCTTTGGCCAACAATAACAGCAAACTGAACTACAAAAAAACATTATAGCAAGGTCAAAAAAGAAAATACTCCTAGTTCTATATGAAGTAAATTGTTG